AGAGAGAGAGAGAGAGAGAGAGAGAGAGAGAGAGAGAGAGAGAGAGAGAGAGAGAGAGAAGGAAGGGGATGGTGACATGCTTGTGGGCTGGAAACAGAGGGGTCGTACAACCAAGCCAAGCTATAGGCAATTCTTACCAGGTTTGATGGTTTTGCTGTCCCTTTGGGGAATCTTTGTTCTCGAATCCCCTTGGCAGGTTGGAAATGAGTGAGATAGTGGACGAGGAGAAGTGGAGGAGATCACAAGCAGAGGATATAAGTGTCAGGAGAGTGAAAGAACTGGAGAACGAATTGGACGTAGCACAAAAGGAACGCACTGCAGCATTGGCGGACAAAAGGGCGGCACAGGAGCTGATGGAGAAGCGAGAGCAGTCAAGGATAGAGGCCGAGAGCAAGGTGTCCATGCTTGAGAAGAGGCTGAAAGAAGAGTGGGACCAAGCAAGCAAGGCAGAGGAGAGGGTAAGGGTTCTGGAGGAGTTACTCCAGGGTAAGGACGAAATTAAAGGACTGGATATTGTGGAAGTGAAGCTTGCGAGGGAGAAGTTGGCACGTGAGAAAGCAGAGGCTGAGCTGAAGCTTGCGAAAGCACTTGAGGACTGCGAAGCTTTGCGACTCTCGGTCAGGGAAGTTTGCGCCGAGCGAGACCGCATGGCAAGCGATGTCGTGCAGCTGCAGAGAAGTCTTGACGATTCCGGAAGCACTACAGCGAAGCTCGTTGCGAGAATGGAGCGGCTTGAAGAGGAGTTGCTCGATCTTAAAGAAAAGGAAGAGGGTTCCGGTCAGAGGGAACAGGAGTGGGAACAGGAAAAGGAACAGCGAGAGCGGCTGACGGAGGAGATGGCGGAACGTGTGAAGGAGATGGAGGGTGCTGCGGAGCGCGCTCGACAGGCCGAGGAGCGTTTTGAGGAGCTGCAGAAGGAACTTGGCGAGAGGGACGTGAAGATTGCATCGCTGACCGAAGAGGTCAAGATGAGGATGGAAGTTGTTGAGGCGAAGGTGCAGTTAGCACAGGAGCTGGAGCAGGTGAAGGAGGAGAAGTTGGCCCTGGAAACCGAGCTCTCCCTGGTGTCGGAAAGATCGAAGGTATGGGAGGATATGGTAAATGAGCACGACGTGAGCGACGACGGAGTCAGTTCAACGATGAACGAAGTGCTCCGAAAATGGCAGCGGGAAGTTCTAGAGAACCAGAGGATGGCCAAGGAATTGTCGGAAGTGGAGAAAGTCTGCCAGGGAATGAAGGAGGAAAAGGCCATAGCAACAAGAATGTTTGGGAAGGCTCTGGAAAGTGTGTGCAAAGATCTGATCATTCTTCTGAAGCTGCTGCTCGAAGAAGGGGACGAAGCGAAGAAGGCGGAAGCCCTCGAACCCCATGTGGGGCGCGCGCAAAGGCTGGGTAGCAGTTTGGCCTCCCACAGATCTTCAGGCGGTGATGTCAAGGTGGATTTGAGTCAGGCTATGTCAGAGCTAGTTGACGTCGTGGGACAGGGGCTAGCCGCTGCGAGAAAGGAAGTTAGTGAATGCAGGAGTGCGTTCACGGAGAAGGAAGTGGCAATGCAGAGCACGAGACGAGCAATGGAGACGGAACTCGTGAAAGTCAGGGATGATCTAGAAGCAGAGAAAATTGAGGATAGAACAGCACTTGCAAAGCCGGTCGAGAAGATGATCGACAGGGTAGCTGGGGAAATGCTGCATGTCCTGCATGTGATTGAGCAAGTGAACCTCACAGCCGGGTCGAAGGTTGAATTGCCGGAGTCAATGGAGGAGAGGATCAGCCGCATAATGGGGTCGTCATCGATACTCCGAGGGTCGTCTTCGCTGGAAGACGGCGGAAAGGTGTTTTCAGGCTGGCTGGCTGACTTGCTTACTGAGTTCACAGATGTGTCAGTCAAGATAGGCGTTCTGACCCGGAAGCAACTCGGAAGTCTTCGGGATCGACTGGAAGACCTTCGTGATGAGCATGAAACGGTACGCTCCGAACAGGAGAGGCTATTCGCAGAATATGAGCGACTCCAGTCGGAGGAGAAGGCTGCAAGGATTGCAGAGGTAAGTGCAGTCTTTTTTTTTTGTAATTGAAAAGTGGCTCTGTAGAGTCTGTACCATTCCCATTTCTTGTTCTTGATTCATTGCTTAGAAAAGCGAAAAGTGGGCGAGAAACCGTCCATTGTTAAATGTATAGGATGCATGCATAACATTGTCTTGGCGCGAGGGGGCCTGTGAATAGGACGAAGTATCGCAGCTTCGCTCATGAACAGTAAACAGGGTACTGTACTACATATCTGTAGGGTTTGGGGTTCCGCTTCACCCGAATAGAACACACCGTTAATTTTCACTGTATGTGGACTGAAAGTTGCACGGACACACATCTGTAGGATTTGGGGGTCCGCTTCACCCCAATAGGACACACCGTTAATTTTCGCCTGTATGTGGTCTGGAATTTGCACAGAATCCAGCTGTAATGACTGCGGGACGGGCGTCTATTCAGGTGAAGATGGTAGGGTGTACATGAGAGGCTGTTTGCAGAATATGACCAAGTACACTGCTGCAAGTGCATCTGTTGCTTGAGCAATGATGGGGAAATAAGTTCAAATAACAGATTTGTCAACGTTTTGACTTTGACTTTTTGACTGTTTGACTGTTACAAACAGGTACCACAGTTGATTGTACATTTCGCAGGCGCAGGGTCTAAATGTTGTTGGCGTCACATGTGGTTAACAGGGATCCCCTGCCACCACCCTTTTTTTTTTTTTTTTTTTTTTTTTTTTTTAGGGCGAGGGCGTTGCGATATCACTGACTGGCCCTAAGCAATCCAGAATTATTGTGCTCTTTTTCATCTTGATGACATCTAGACTTGAACTTGGGTTTAGTGTTTCAACAGTTCAGGGGTGTACCAACTGAGCTAGGCTCATTGGTTAGGGTTCCCCCCTTTTCAGCTCGGAGGCTAACCCCCCAAGCACGGACATAGGCATTTCGAAATTTGTAGATATTTTTAATTGGTTTTTAACTTTTTTAAAGTTTTTATGTTTTTGTTCAGTTTTTTTCTCACCTGGCCAGGTCGGGAGGGGGGCATCTGCCAGGCCAATCTGGGCGGGCTGGAAATCGGGCAAAATTTTTGCGTTTGCTTTCTTCTGATCGCACGGATTGAATGTTCTTGTTGAGAACATGTGAATTGAAGAGAGGGGGGGGGGGGGGGGGGGGGSGGGGGSGGGGGAAGGGGGGCTAGGGGTTGGTGAGGAAAGGGTTCCAGATGGGTTTAGACTGTGTAGAGGGGTCTAAACTTCAAACTTCAAGGGCATGTATATTGACTTCTTGGTCTATTTTATTTCTCATCTTGAAAATGAAGAGCCTTTTGGAGATGACCATCAGGCAAAAGTTGTTTGTATTATCATTTTACACAACATATGCTTTCTTAGGATTTTTTTTTTTTTTTTTTTTTTTTTTTTTTTTTTTTAACAAAACAGGTCCTTATGGCCCTGGCTCCATATCCATTCTGGAGAGCGTCAGTCCGGTCCCTCTTCCATCGGCAAGTCAAACATTGACAATATCAACAGACTCACGCCTCCTTCTGTCTGGCCGAGGGATCCCTGATCAGCATTGATTACTCCAGCAGTATGGAGGATTGACTGTCAGCTTGCCTTACTTCCACCTTTCCTCTCAGGTCTATCTAACTAGGACCCGCCATATTTATCTCAAAGCATAAGAAAAGGATAAGCGAAGGGACAGCCACAGTCTTCGCACTTGTTCGCACTTGTAGGTTCAAAGCCTTTTGCTATGATACTTATGTGGCCTATGATGGAGTTTGCTGGATTCTCTGTCTTCTCAGGCCCACTTCTGAGTTGTGCCAGTCCTTCCCTCCGCCTATGCGGAAGTCCTTCATTTCTGCTACCTTGCCGCCTGTCAGCCATATCTTTGCAAATTTCTCTTCTGTTCTCTGCTGCTGATCCACATCCTCCGTCATGGAGAGTCTTGTCTTCTGCCACTTGCACAAAATCTCTGCCTGAATTAATGTCTGTGTCTCCGCCCAAACTTTCCCCCTTGGTGTTGATAGCCTTTCAAAGGTTCTGCTACACCTTTCCTTCCATATAGACCAGAGTAATACTTTTCTGATCATCCCAAACCACCATATCTTTTCGGAGTTGTGGAAATGAGCGGGAATGTTAGTCCATAGGAGGAGTTTGATGGGGGTGTTCGGGGAGGGGAGTCGGGGAAAGGGAGGCCCAGAGGTCTGACACCCTGGCCCAACATTCCGTCGCTTCTCTGCACCTTATTAAACAGTGTATCATATCTTCAGGTGCATTCTCCGAGCATACTACGTATAGGTCAGAGCTATTGGGGTCACTATGCCTTCTTCTGATATGCAGCCATTGGTTGACAGGTAACGGTAGTACGGTACGTATGAGATAGCCATTGGAGGCTTCTAATTTAAACCTGTCGCTTGATTTGAATTTCTTCCACGGTATCTGTGATATCTGGGTGGCTTCCTGAGTCCTGACCATTTTTATTTTTTTTTGATAACACCAAGGCCCTTGTGCAAGCCCTCTATCCCAGTGGTGGTAAAAAACCCACCGGGATTGAGGTTTTGTCAGCGGGCCGATCCATCTATTGGTGGGGAGCATCACCTGCTGGAAACCGGGTCCAGCGTCCCTTGAATACATCTTTTTTTGAAGTGACACATGATGATGTGTATGGCTTCCTGACCAATCAACTTCGTCCATCTATTTTTTTTTGTGGGATCCAGATCCTTGGTTTTAGTCAGGAGATTGTATCCCAGTTTAACTGTATATTCATGGATGAATACTTTGGTTCTTAGGTTTTTGCTTCTTCCTGGTGTCCAGGCCCATTCCGCTGGGTCGAATTCCAAGTCCTGAATCGTCGTACCCATTCTGAAGATGGTTTTTGGTCATTGCCCCAGTACTCTTGCTTTCCTGATCACAAAGTTGTTTAGAACTGTTCTTTCTACCCCGTCGTTCAGACTGGATGAAAGCCCTTGAGTCAAATGCATGATTGGAAAAGAGGTGAACACAGCCAGAGTGTCCGATCCCTGCTGTTTATGGGAGAATCGTTAGGCCCTCGAGGGGGATGATTCCTGTACCAAGACACCCCACTCTCCTGGTTTCCATGTTGAGGCTTCGCTCAGTAATTCTTTCCATCCCTCTGGAATGCAGCGTATGACCATTTGCAGGTTCTCATCCCGTCGGTGACATCCCCGGCAAGTTCCTGTTCTGTGACCCAGTCCTTTTTCTCCTCATCGCATACGTGGCAGACTTTCCAAACTCCATGCCTTATACATGATAGCCATCTCCTTCCTCTAGGTTTAAGGGTTAAAGGGTGGTCACTCGCATCCCTCACCCAAGGATTGCCGAACAAGGGTTATCTCGACACCTCGTCTTTGGACTTGGGTCTGCCCACTTTTTTTGGCATGATTTCCCACCATATCGGCAGCAGGGCAGTCCAGTAGGGTGTGGGAGGTCTAGCTTCATTTACCCCAATCCCTCTTCGTCAATTTCTCCGACCCGTGTTTGGGGAACTTTGGGCTCCATTCTTTGTTCATCACCTAGAAAAGACCCGACATATTTGCTGGGGTATCTATAGGGGCTAAATTCCTGATGCTGTCCAAAGCCAGTTTGTTCCATGCCAATCCTGGTCCGGTGAGGAGTTTAACAATCCACTTAACTTGTAGGGCCTTTGTTTCTTGTTTGGGGTCAATGATGCCTAGTCCTCCTTTGGCTGGTTTCCTCATAATGCAGTGCCAGGCTATTTTCGGTATGAAATTCTCTTTGTTAGGATCACCGGTCCATAATCATGCTTTGGCTTTGTGGTTGAGATCCTCGATTGTATGATCCGGCACTGTCCAGATTGATGCTATGTACCACATCATTGAGAAGATCGATGTATTGATGATCAGCGCACGGCCCAGCAAGGACGTAAACGTATTTTCCCATCTACCCAGTTTGTTGATTTGGTTGGTGAGTAAGTTCTGTGAGCCATTTGGGGGGCAAAGCCGTCTTTTGTCACTAATACAACTAGACTAGATACCGTGTGTGTGTCTCAGGTTTCTCCCACGTCATGGCCGCCTCCGGACCCTGGAGCTGAGGGATGTCCTCGTCAGACAACCACCAACCGACTGTTTTTTTCCAGTTACTTTTCATTTCTGATGCTAATCTGAAGGCCTCCATAGCTCTAACCTGCGCACTAAAGGAAGAGTCCAGTGCTCGAATGAGAACCGTCAGATCATCTGCAAACATTATTACCGTTGGGAATTGCAGGCAGTGGGTGGTACCCACGTTGACCTCTCGTATCCTGTGAATGAAGGGGGGCTATAGCCTCCATGATCACAAAGAGAAAAATAGGCGGCGCTAGAGGGTTTCCCTGGTAAACCGACCGTGAGATCGGATAACATGCTGATAGCAAGCCATTGACTTGGACACAACCCGTGGCATCATTGTACAGGATGCGCACCCACTTTCTGAAATCTGAGCCCACTCCCATCTTCTCCACACTTGCGTTGAGGAAGGCCCAATTTACCTGATCTTAGGCCTTCTCAAAGTCGAAGAAGAGGATTGCTGTGTTAAATTGTTAATCCTTTTCTCTCTGACTTTTTTTGGCTGATTCGTTAAGCGTAAGTACGTTATCCAGGATATGCCTCCCCGGAATGAAACCTATTTGATCAATGTGGAAGCATTTGTCTGTCAGATCTAACATTCGAAAAGCTAGAGCTTTGGCCAAAATCTTGTAAGGGAGAGTTATTAGCGAGATTGGTCTGTGATTTCTGATATCTTCTCCCCTTTCTTGTATAGCAGTGTAACTACACTACTACTGATAAGGCTTCCTAAACCGCCCTTAGACCAACCGTCATTGTAAAAACTCAGCAGATCACGCCCTAAGAGTGGCCAAAACATTCTGGTGAGATCGTTTTCTCAAAATACTGTAGCATCCTGTTCCGTGCCTCTTCTAGTGCTCGGAGGGTTCAGTGCAGGGGGTTTTGTGTGGTAGAGGTCCTCGTAGAATTCCTTTGCTATGTTCAATATTCCCACGTTGCCCAGGGCACGATCCAGGGGGAAGAAGAGAGGGAGAGAGAGACTGTGAGGCTGAGCGATACAAGACGAGAGAGAGAGAGAGAGAGAGAGAGAGAGAGAGAGAGAGAGAGAGAGAGAGAGAGAGAGAGAGAGAGATTCCATGTGTAGAAGCTGTTAGAGTGGCGAAGACTGCAGGAGACTAGAACACTTTCTTTTCTTTGTATACTAGTAATACTTTGACATCAATCCTTCAGGCAACTCTTGTGTTTCGGCTGTTGGTTCCAAGTGTGAACACTCGTCTGGATGTTCGTTGCATGTTTGTGCGAGGTTATGGGTGATTGACTTGCGAATCATTGCAGTTTGAAGCAGGGCTGGGACGGTGACTGGCCGGTTCTGCTGGCCTGGACCTGACCAGGCCGGATCAGTTAAAACTTAAAAGGCAGCCCAACAGGGCTGGTCCCCGGATGGACCGGGGACCCCTACCCCATCCGTGGTCCACCCAGTTGGACCGGCCGGTGGCCCGGGCCTGTTCCCTCCCAGTCGCCCCCAGCACATTTTCGCTGGGGCCTGAAGTTTTTTTTTTGGCGGTGCGTATGTATTACGGAGGCCTCGTTGGGGCGGGCCCTGCCCCGCAATTTCGTTACCGGGTCCTGTAGGTCCGGATTTTTGAAGTCCAAAAAGTGGCCAATCTTGGCCGCCGGTCGTCGCAGATCAGCGGCAAAGATCAACCACTGCTTTGAATCAGTTCGGGCGGGAAACGAAATTGCGCAGCGGGAAAACGCATCGTGCATTCAACCCCGCTCGCCTCCACTCTGTGCAGCCACTCCGTCGTCGCCTCCGACAGCTAGCTGTGCCATCGTCGCCACCGCCAGCAGCCGTGCCATAACTCGGAGCAGCCGCGCCGTTGTCGGTAGGTCTCCGCGGGGTGCAGCAGCACTATCGTCGCCTCCACCAGCCAGCTGTGCCATCGCGCCCCCTGCCAACGAGCCACTCCATCACGCACTCCTGCTTCTCCTTCTCCTTCTTCTCCTTCTTCTCCTTCTTCTCCCTCTTCTTCCTCTTCTTCCTCTCCTCCTCCTCCTCCTCCTCCTCCTTCTTCTTCTTCTTCTTCTTCTCCTCCTCCTCCTCCTTCTCCTCCTCCTCCTCCTCCTCCTTCTTCTTCTTCTTCTTCTTCTTCTTCTTCTTCTTCTTCTTCTTCTTCTTCTTCGTCTTCTTCCTCCTCCTCCTCCTCTTCATCTCCTCCTCCGTTAGCCATAGCCATTATATTTTTTATTTTTTTTCGAAGCTGCTTCATCTTCCTTGCATTCTTCTTCTTCTTCTTCTTCTTCTTCTTCTTCTTCTTCTTCTTCTTCTTCTTCTTCTTCTTCCTCCTCCTCCTCCTCCTCTTCTTCTTCCTCGTCGTCCTCCTCCTCCTCCTCTTCTTCTCCTCCTCCGCCGTTAGCCATAGCCGTTTAGTCTAACAACTCCCATAAAACTTTTCGGCCGCGGACGCGACTCTCGCGTCTGCGATGGTCCACGTTAGTGTTTTCCCGTGGAGACGTTCGATGTAAAACTTCTGACGCGCGTCGCGAAGCGTGAGACGTCCGATGTAAACTTTTCGGCCGCGGACGCGACTCTCGCGTCTGCGATGGTCCACGTTAGTNTAAAACTTCTGACGCGCGTCGCGAAGCGTGAGACGTCCGATGTAAACTTTTCGGCCGCGGACGCGACTCTCGCGTCTGCGATGGTCCACGTTAGTATTTTCCCGTGGAGACGTCCGACGTAAAAATTCTGACGCGCAAGTGACTAAGTCACGAAGCGTGAGACGTCCAATGTAAAATTCTGACGCGCCTGACGCGTTTGTTTTGTTTCGGGCGAGCGTTTCGTTTTGTTTTTCGAGTTGTGCTTTCTTTTATCGTTACTTTTGGAAAAGAGGTCGGGCGTTCGAATCCTTTTAAGTACCCTGAAGTGGCCATCGAGTGGGGGTTTCCGAGTTGCACTGATTTTTGTTTATTGTTTTTAGTTTTCTTTTCTTTTGTCTGACGCGCCTGACGCGTTTGTT